CATGCTTCCAGGAAAGCGACTTCTGGTCAATTACCAGAATGTTTCCAAGGCTTAAAATGATCAGTGGCCTTTATTTTTATGACTTAAACTTTCATCGAGTTTGAAAAACAATTGGAGTGGGCCAAATTCTCTTCACTGTTGCATGTTCGTGGCTTTTCATAACACTGCCTTATAGTTTGATCTTTTGTTTACTTTATAATCACTTTTAGCATTATTTATTGGCGCTGTACTGAAATCAAAGATATGGTCGGAAACAACATTTTCAAGATAAGAATAACTTTTTGGTGAACATGTTAGCTCCAGATAAAAAATTGGAGAACGAACAATATCTTTCTGAATATTATCACCACTCACCAGCAAATCATTAAATGGCTTACAAAACAGTGGTTTAGTGGTCTTAGGAAGAATTCCTATTAAGTATATGTGAACAAGAAATGTAGATAAAACCATGATTATGATGTTATTTGATGTTCTCGTCTATTTCGTTGAGATAATATAAGCCAAAAATCGTGCGGTAGACTAAACCAAGATGATATTAAGATCAAAATTGGCGGCGCCATTGTTGAAGAAAGCTCTGAAGGAAAACTGCTAGGGGTGATAATAGATAAAAATCTTAATTTCAAAAGTCACGTCTCAAATTTATGCAAAAGAGCCAGCCAAAAACTGCATGCCCTTGCTAGAGTAGCGACATTTATGGGTTCTGATAAACTGCGTCTCCTAATGAACAGCTTCATAAAAGGTCAGTTTAGCTACTGCCCCCTAATTTGGATGTTCCATGACAGATGTCTGAATGCTAAAGTGAATAAAATCCACGAAAGAGCACTCAGAATTGTTTATAAAGACAGTCATGCTGACTACGAAGCATTGCTGACATTGGATAATGCAGTATCGATTCACCAACGCAATCTACAGTACTTGATGATAGAAATATACAAAACCAAATATAACCTGAACCCTAGTTTCATTAGTGAGATTTTTGAAACAAGAAATGTACTCTACGATTTGCGAACTAAAAATAATCTTTGCATTCCAAAAGCCAGGACAACTTCTTATGGTATAGAAACTGTGAGATATTTAATTCAAAAACTGTGGCAAACACTACCTCACAGTATAAGAGAGTCCCAATCATTAGCAACATTTAAAAAATCATTAGCACACCCTGTAGAATGCGACTGTAGATTATGTAAAATATTCATTGCTGGGTTAGGTTTTATTCAGAATATTATACCTTAAACATTTTTAACATTGTACAATATATTTATTTCATACTAATTCTTCATAGATAGTTGGCCTTAATTAGCTTCTTTATAGCTATTAGACTTTCATTTCCTAAGCCAATTTTAAACAAATTACTTATTATTATCATTTTTATTATTATAATTATTATTATTATTATTATAATATCATTATTATTATTACGTCAAACGCAATTACTGGAATACTCTACAATATGAAACTTCAGCTCTTCCAACTTTTTCTGTTGCAGGATGTACCGAATACTTTGTGAAAACATTTTCTGCCATCGCTCCTAACAAATATTTCACCATTCCTTCGCTTCCTGGGTCACTACTTTCAATGGACCATCTTATCCATTTGATCTAGAGTCACCTAGTTACAAAACCATTACTTCTATCATAAGGCATATGAAAGCTTCCACTCGTTCCTTTCCTCTTGATAAGATATCCATCATCTGTTTCAAACGAAGTCCTTATCTTCGTTCTTTTCTTACCGAAATAAATTGTCTTATCTTTTACTGAAATGTGTTATCTATAATTTCTTACTGAAATAGTTTATGTTTTCTGGCTTTCAGGTAAGGTACAATCCCTCCGAATGGAAAAAGGCCTCCACTATCTTGATTCACAAAAAGACAGCACAGATGATCCATCAAATTTCAGGCCAATCACTTTAGAATCGGTGCCCTTAAAAATATTCACTTCTTGCTTACGTGACTCCATCTTCACTTTTCTGAAACACAATGGCTTTATCGAGCACCAAATCCAAAAAGGCTTCACCTCAAAAGTATCAGGTACATTAGAGCACACAGCAATGATGAGCCATTTATCAAATAATGCTCGCATTAAGCAACGATCTTTAGTGGTATCTTTGCTGAATCTCAAAAACGCCTTTGGCGAAGTTCACCACAAGCTGATACCAGCTATTCTTGCTTATCATCATATACCTTCGGAAATTCAATCATTGATCTCAAGCTTATATCTAGATTTTAAGAACTGTATCATAACCGATAAATTCCAAACCCCTGCAATTCCCGTTCGCCGCGGCGTATTGCAAGGTGACTGCCTCAGCCCCCTTCTTTTCAACCTTTGCTTCAACACGTTCATACAATACATCAAATCAGATAAATATAAGCAGCTTGGTTTCTCCCCCCATGATGGTAATGACCGCATGTTTCAGCCAGTACACTGGTTTCAGTTTGCTGATGATGCTGCTGTTGTTACCAGTGGAGAAAAGGAGAACCAACTCTTATTAAACTGCTTTACCAGATGGTGCCAATGGGCTAACTTCATTGTTAGGGTTGACAAATGTGTTACCTTTGGTGTCAAGAAACACTCTACGCGTTCCCTCTAATTTCAACCGAAACTTTTCATCTGCAACCAAATAGTACCTGCTGTCAAAAATGGCGATTCCTTCAAATATCTTGGTCGTTTCTTTGATTTTGAAATGAGTAACCAAGATCATAAATCTAAACTCGTTCCTCTTTTCTCTACTCTTATGAAGGATATTGACGACTTACCTCTCCATCCTAAAAACAAACTGCTATTATACCATCGTTATGGCATTTTACTGTTGCAGATCTACCAAAGACCTGGGTTGTCCAAAACCTAGACAATCTTGTTTCCAACTACATTCGCCAGTGGCTTGATCTTCCTTTTTCTGCTACCTTGAGTGGAATAATCCTCTCAAAAAATCAGTTTGGCCTAAAACTGCCTTCTATCAAATTTACGCAATGCCAAACTGTCTGTCGCAATGCCCTAAAATCTTCTCCTAACATTGACATTCAAACCCTATGGAAAAACACAGTCATGGCACGAACCTACAGTACGACAACTATCGTAATACTAAAGAGGTATTGAAGGCTGTCAAATCAGACAACAAAGAACGTCTCTCTCAAAACTTACCATCTCAGGGAGCTGCAATTACCTTCCTACTGAAACATTCACTGGAAAAGCTCAACGGTATTTGGTCAAGAACACAGAGCAACTTACCTAGTAACATCTTTAACTTTACCATCAAGTATCTTAACATCACTCTTCCAACTCGTAAAAATCTGCTGAAATGGAACCAGGGGCGAAACTGCACTATTTTCATTAGGGGGGTATGAATCTTAGATGCCCGACAAAAGGGCGTGGCATGCTTGATGAAAGGGCGTGTCATGCATGAACTTAATTTTTAGAGCACATCGCCTCAAGGGCTGAAATCATCGGGAAGTCCGAGAGTGTTTAGACTCAGGCTGTTTGTTTAAAGTCAAGAAATATGCCTCTAGTTTTTCTGGTGGCTATAAACATTTGTTTCCGAAAAGCAAGCATTTGTAAGGTCTTCACTTTCTGAATCAACTAGCTATTAAGAGAGCAATTCAAAAAAGGGAATTGTAGTGGGGTCTCAATTTTATCAAAGTGGAACACCAAAACACAGGCGGGGGCGGGGGCTTGTCAAGGGAAAATTTAGAAATCACAAACAAAGATTTTGTAAAAAGCTCTCTTGTTTTGCAAAAAGTAGGGGGAATGGGTATGCACAGTGTTCATTTTCTTCTCGCATCAAACACACTTTACTTTCCGTCTATACTTTCGCTGTCGATCAATACTTCAGACTTCATCTCGAGGCGAAGATAAACATGTGCCTGTCGAGCTCGAGACGAAAGCGCTGATCAGTGGACAAAAGACAGAAATGTATATATATGTTGCTGTTCCTAGCCTCGTTTCTGTTTTGTTTTCCCAACTGGGAGGAGATTGAAAAAAGATGGGGGAAAAACCAAGCTAGGGCAAAAAGTAGCAATAAAAGTGCGATCTAAAGAAAATTTCCAGATTTTCCCGACAGATACACTGGCAGCCATAAATTTGCCCGACAAAATCTGCTTTTTTGAAGATTGGGGGGGGGGGTGCAGCACCCCCCCATACGCCCCAGTAGTTTCGCCCCTGAATGGAACCTTAGTCAAACATCTGACTGTGAAGTCTGTCTTCTTCCAGAAACACTTCTACATGTTGTTGCTGAATGCAAAGTGTACCTTGACCAAGGCCACTATACTTGACGTCATAATTCTGCATTAAACTTTCTAGCCACTTCCTTCTAAGCAATAAACGGGTCTTTCGTTGTAAAATTCCATCCATCAGTAACTGGTTATTGTGCGATTTTGACAAAACAGGACATTTTCAAGAGAACAATTCCATGAGCAAGTGGTTTTGGTGAAATACTGAATACACAGGCAAGTTTCAGGGTACAAGTTTGTCCATCAGCAACAAGTTATGGTATGATCAGCAACGTAATGGTAGGATTCTTCATCGATAAGGGTCGGCCTTTGGTTTTCAATTACAATTTTGGTTTACAATTACTTTGCTCAGCCACACGCAAGTGATCCCTGTAGCAAGACCTGTCAAGTTTCAGTTTTGAAAATGAGTGAGTTTTGAGAAAAGCAAGGGGCAATATCAGCGTCGAGGTGGTAAAATGGGCGTGGCCTAAAATTTGTTGCTTAACCTCCATTGATAAACTTGAGCGGAATGGTGTTTTATTTTTTCTAACCATGCTAAAGACCCTCTCTTCCCCAACGTTGGAATGAGGCAGTACCAAAACAACTTACTGATGTCATCACTTCGCAACAGTCTCGTATGTACAGTCTCGAAGCCTTTTGTTTAAATTGCCTCTTTGGTAGCAAGTTAGCACTTCCCATAGAAATAGTAGTGCTAGAATGCGCGGTCTATCACGTGACGCGTGCGAACTATGGGGATCCAAAATGGTAGCAACAAGTTGGCAAAAAAATACGCGGGAAATCACAGCGGACAGTATTGCCTACCCCTGTCACCGTATACGCGCTTGAATTTCTAATTAATCTAATACACTGTTGCTAACATTGAATGATAATCGAACTTTGATAAAAGAAATGGTAGTGTCGTGTGCTGTTTTCGGCTGCCAGAATCGATGGATTCCTAAAAAAGACTTGCTTCCCGGTCAAACAAACATATCGTTCTACAAGTAAGTAGGCCCGCTGTGTGTACTGTGTTTCTCGTTATTCTTGATAGGAATTTGAATAGAAAAAAATATCTTCCAAAAATTCTATGATACTTTTATTAACTATTCGAAATGATTTTCATCATTGATATTTCTACTATGTTTACAAACAGACAGTAGGTACATAAAATCGGGAGGGCAGTGAACCAAATTAAAAGTCATCTTATGGTTCGTGGCATTAATTCCTCAAAGAGGGTGCAATAGGTGAATTTACTCGGCTGCCGAAGATAAATTCTCCTACAATTTCTTATATTGTAGCAAAATTTCCTAACAAACTTTGGTGGAAGGGGGAACATGAACGTATTCTTATGTATTTCAGTAAATACATACTTAAATATGTGGAACCATATATCTCTTTATTTAATGAGTTCATGAGGAAATCCATAGATGGGGTAACATTTCCATTCCTATTCTGTTTTTTTTATACTGGATTATAATAAGCAGGGGTGGGGAGGGGGGGTGGTTGCGAAAAACTACTGACCTGAAGAAATACCATGATATGTCCCTATTGGGTACTTTTTAACAAATAACCCTAAATGCAAAAATATTGAAACAGCTCATAAGTGAAGCAATTAACCTCCTTGCTAGAAGGGAAGCTAAAGTTCATGCAGTCATCTTTGATTGTGCTCTTAAGAATGTTAGCATGGCTGAGAAACTTGGATGTGATATAAAAAACCTTTGCACATTATTTCCATATCCATCAAACCCCAGTGAAAATATCTTTGTAATTCTTGATACCTGCCACATGCTGAAGCTTGCAAGAAATGCCTTTTCCACCATCAAGATCTTTTGTACCCCAGCTGGACAAATAATATCTTGGGAGTATGTTCTTGCACTCTATAGAACACAAAAAATGACATACTATCAGTGTTGCAGCACAGACTTTAAGCCATTCTGTGGCATCTGCAATAACTTTTTTGAGAAATCTGGGGTTGCAAGAATTTAAGGACAGCAAAGCAAGCAGCGACTTCGTCCTTCTGATGAACAATATCTTTGATATGCTTAACTCAAAAAGGAAACTTGGACAGCATACAAAGAGACCTGAAAACAACAACGCTGTTTACATATATTAATTTGAACTGGAAAAAGTTGATTCAAAACTTCGAAATTTTGTCAGAGACCTAACGGCTGGGATTTGATTTCAAGGTAATTTAAGCTAATTTTGTTATTAGTCTCGAATGCATCAAGTTTCAACAAGACTTTCTAGACACTGAATCGCGCTGTTGTTGACAATTTTGTTTACCAGTAACTTCCGCGTTTCTGCTAGGCCAAAAACTTGAGGAATTTATTAAGTACTACTCAAAAATAATATCGCATACCCATTTATAATGGTTGAAGGTTGTCTAATGATAATAAACTTGAAATTGAATAAATCCATAATTAATTACTAAGCTGCCCTAGGGAAGGAAATTTGGTGAAGAAAGGAGTCCAAACAAAATACGAAGAAAAACCGTAAACGACTCGCTGTGGCGTAAGGAAAAAGTAAAAACGTCCCTTACCTTCTTCTATTTTGGCGCTGGAAAGTTTTCATGAAATTTTTCTCCTCATATCACCACGTAGAATCGGTAATTCCATAACTTCTTATTTGTGTACAACGTACGCCACAAAAGCTTTTTGCCAACATGTTGCTACCATCTTTGCTGCCCATTGGTATTACGCAGGAAACAATAGGCGAACAATAGAGCGCGCATTCTAGCTCTACTATTTCTATGGCACTTCCCTTTGTCACACTGAGCAAATACCTTATAGGTCGGGTCCGCTTTGCTATGTTCGCCTCCCTACTGGGTGTCATTTTCCATCCCGTAGCCAAACCTTTTTAGAAACAAAGGTTTAGGCTGGAGTTTGAAAAACAAAATGAAAAATTTGAAGACACCAAAAAAGTTTAGTAGAATGTGTGAGAATTCTCCATGGATGCGTGTGAGCGTGAGTTGAAGGCGAAATGCGCGAGACTTGGAAGGTCTGTGTAGCAGTTAATAAACAATATATATCTCGGAAATAGCTTCGATTGAGTTTCCCCACTCCCTTGCAGCAATGTTTCTCAGCTCAGAAGTAGACCTTAGGTACTTCATGTTGTTAGAATATACAAAAAATAGAGCTATTGTTTAGTTACGAACAATTACGTTTACTTCCGCTTTAATTGCACGCTGTCATGCTGTGAGCTGTAAGAATTTACTTCGTCTAAGTTTTCGTTCGAGTTGTAATCGCCGTTATGTTATGGATGAATTTATCTTCAATCGCTTGTTTCTGTGCGTAAAACTCCTGATTTTAAAACATGTATGGAAGATTTAGGTCGGTCATGCTGAAAAAAATTGAGCATGACTTGGGGTCCAAAACGGGCCAAAATATCATGCGCAAGATAGAATTCAGCCAATCAAGTCAGTGCTAGGTTTATGATTATAATGACGAGGTCATGCTATTCCAAATGAGCATGACTTACCACAGGGATACCAACTGAAAAGTCATTGAAACTCAGCCGACTCACAGGAGCGGTGGGGCTCTCTGTGTAAAGAAACCCTATGGCAGGTCATGCTCTTGAGAATGAGCATGACTAACCACAAGGGACCAAGGTGGGGAAGGGCAGTAGAATAATAAGAATAAACTGGACGAAAGGGGTTTTGAAAGTACTTTTTCAATAAAGAAAATCTTTATAATAAATGTCTTTAGCTCTGAAAATTTTAGTCATGATCAGCATGACCGCTAGCTTCGCCACTGCTGAAGTGTCAATTTCGATTAATTATACGCGAGGGAAGAGCTGGAACATGAAGCCTTAGCTTTGTGGGCCTACACAGGTGTTCAAAACAAAGTGTGAGAAGGAAGAACCGCATGATAGGCTGTCCGCCTGTTCAAAACAAAGTCGTGACACGGCATGGACACATTCCGATCCGCAAACTTAGAATGATTGTAAACATTTAATACTTTTCGATCCTAAAAAGCTCCTGCTCTAGATTTAGATGCAGTTATGAAAACGCGTGACCATGACTCCTTCACGATTCGGTGGAAGATATACGAAATTCATGGCGAACGAGAGCCGCACACTGTGACGTCAGAATGTCACCAAACTGATTCGGTTTTTGTCGTTTTTTTCTCTGAAAGGTGCAACTTTAAGGCCTTATAACTTCTAAACTAATTGGAATTTTGCAAAAACAATGCCATAATACAATGAGAGTATTGAAATTTCCAAAACAATAAGAAACTTGAGTACTCAACATCGACCTTTGTTTTTTATAAAAAATTAGCGTATATAATGTAATGTTAATGGCAGTGTTCGAATGGTAACATGAATACAGGTTGTGTCTAATTATCCCAGAGTGTTTCTTCCTAAATGCGTTTGTTAACAGAGACGCGATTACAAGTGTGGTGCAATATTACAAAGAAATACTGATAATCAACTGTGACGAACATGAGAAAATAGAATGAATGGAATAAAAGAAAATCTTTTCACGAGATTTGCAGGGCGAGACAAACGGCAGTATTACAATATTCCCAGATTTTGATAATTCACTCACAAGCTCATTTCATAAGCCATATCTCATTAAAAGGATAAGATTAACTGTTTGCGCCAACTCTATTGCTATGGCATCATCGGTAACAAATAAGAATATTATGAAAGCAGTGGCAAATCTGCTGAGTGGCCTGAAACGTCTTAACAAAAGCATCCACCTGGGGAAATCATGTCTCATTAACAGAAAAGATTAACTCTTTCTGCCAACTCTATTGCTATGGCATCATCGGTAACAAAAAGGAATATTATGAAAGCAGTGGCAAATCTGCTGTGTGGCCTGAAACGTCTTAACAAAAGCATCCACCTGGGGAAATCATGTCTCATTAACAGAAAAGATTAACTCTTTCTGCCAACTCTATTGCTATTGCAACCTCGGTAACAAATAAGAAAGCAGTGGCAAATCTGCTGTGTGGCCTCAAACGTTTTAACAAAAGCATCCACCTGGGGAAATCATGTCTCATTAACAGAAAAGATTAACTCTTTCTGCCAACTCTATTGCTATGGCATCATCGGTATCAAATAAGAAAGCAGTGGCAAATCTGCTGTGTGGCCTCAAACGTTTTAACAAAAGCATTCATCGTAAGGCTTATCCAGGTTATGCGCAGAATAGAGAACCTAGATTGGACAAAACAAAGTTGGCTCTAAAGCCCCGTTAAAACGCTCTCAACATTTCACTGAACATCGCTCAACATTTGTACAGTGATGTTTAGTGATGTTTAGTGATGTTGAATTGGGGTGTTAAAACGCTCTCAACAATTCAACGCAACATTTGTTGAGCGGTGAACTTCGGACTCTCAGAGATCAAAGACAAGTTTGGAAGATGAACTTCAGATACTCTTTCACTTTAACAGTAGCTGCCTGATGATTTCCTAAGGTCAGGAATTTGGTCTTGCAACATGCTTTGAATTGCTATCTCATCCGATTTGCTTTCACTGCCAACTGTTTCCAAGCGTTTGTCATGGTGTGCCATTACGATTTATAAAATTCATCTTCTCTCAACCTCTTGGTCTGATCTGAAATCTTGACACGCTGAAGCCTTTCTTTGGCGCGCAAAAGCCAAGTCTAGTGCGCTTGCGCCGACTGAACATTGTTGTATGGGGTGTTAAAACGCTCTCAACATCTCTCAACAACACCTTTAACAATAGAAATGTTGAGTCGACCCGCTAAACATTTTTGAATCTGTTCAAACTCCACTCAACATCGCTGAACACCGCTGAACACCAGGGGCGTAACTTGGCCAATAGTTTTGGGGGGGTGAAAAGCGTTTCTGCCCTGCAAAACTAAGTGATGCCCTGCAGACCTCGTAGCAACGGTTTGTCTATAGGTTACTAGTAAAGGCTTTACCAGTGTACACTGGTCTTTACCAGGGACAAACTTCTAAGCAATAAAAACAAACTTGAAACTTCATTGCCTATGAAATTTCTATTTCTCTACATGAGCGTAGATCGTTTTTTTTTATTGTCACTTCATTTAATGTTGGTTTGCAAAATTAAGCTAATAAACAGCTAATTGGGGGAGGGGGGATTACATGATGTAGACGGCGCAATGAAATTTAGCCCAGTGGGGCTAAGAGTCGAGTTTAGTGAGGTAGGAGGACCCACCATGGTTGGGTCCGACGTGAAGAAATTTTTTGAAATTATACCTTGTAAAAGGACTGATAAGCATCTTTCAGACAAAAATTTAGCAAAATACTATTGTGCTAAAAGAACTGATTGTTTATTGAAAATATTATTGCTTATTGGGAAAAATAGGGAGGGGGATGTTATGCTAAAACTCTAGTGTTAGACGTTGCGGAGGGAAAGGAACTGCAACCTTTCGTTTCAGATTGCATGCAGTTGTGAATGACAGAGGAAGATGTTGTTTTGATTGGGGGATTTTTTTTCCTGAACAGAAATGTGCAGTTTCTTGTATCGAGAAGGCCATGTTTACACATCCAAAATTAAAACATTGCAATGATACAGAAAATGATTTACTGAATTAATGCAAATAAAAGAGAAATAATAAAAAAAACGTGAAAAAGTTAGCAATTAGATGAAACAAAATCTGTATCTTAACGATTTATTATGTTTTTTAGTTCATGCACTGTTAAATAGTATTAGAAAAAATGATAAAAATTCCTATCTTGACCAAAGTGAGGGACTTCAGCCCCTAATTCCCCCCCAGTGACGCCGTGCTTGTCATGAAAATAATTTACAACTTAAATTAATTGGCATGACTCACCCTTGCCCTTATAAACTTATGCATCAATCATTGCATCCATTGGCTATGACTTTCGGTAAGAAATGCTTTCGCTTTGCAAATAACAGAGCTTTTCCTTACATACCTGTTCCGTTCTCTAAAACGCAATGTCAGGAAGGGAGGTTCATAACAAATACGATATTTCCATTTCAAAATTCCTAAACGGCTCTTTACGAATTTCAGAGGTGGCATTTCTGCGTGACAATAAAGCTCTTCTTGGCGCCCTGCGAAATCTTCGATTGCCCTGCGAAATCGACTGTTTTTTGGATTGGGGGGGTGTCACACCCCCCCACACCCCCCCGGTAGTTTCGCCCCTGCTGAACACCACTCAACATCACTGAACAGGGTGTTAAAACGCTCTCAACATTTGCACTCTACAAATGTTGAGCGATGTTCAGTGAAATGTCGAGAGCGTTTCAACGGGGCTTAAGACAATGGTCATGCTCTGTATGGAGACAGAAAGCTGATGGGGGTCTGTGGAACATTACGCACAACCACGCCATATAGATGCTTTGAAAAAGGAGGTAAAGCCCCTTTTAGTATATTGAATCAAACACCTCTTGTTTAGGTTACAATCAATATTGCCAATGACTTCAACATGTAAATGTTCCCCCATTCTCCAATATTGTGTTTTTGGACATATCCTTGCGACCATGTTTTTGAAAAGTTGTGCAATTCAATGCCTGGGAAATATCTATTCTCTTACTATTAATTATTGACGATTTTGATGATGTTGCTGAATTAAGATGAGTTGAGCAAGATTAGCCCTCAATGATACAGGGAATTGTGGGATGTTTGTTTTTTGGTTCAGAATTTTATACTGAGCTTCAATTTTTTAAGCTTTAATTTTTAAATGTCTTAAAGAAATGTACAAAGGATGGTACTGTTTAGAATATACAAAAGGTTTCGATCCCTGTATTGAAGTTATAACATTTTATCCCTGCAACAGAAAGCCTAGCTACAAATATAGTGTGATTAAAAATCATTTCTAAATTTTGTCCATCAGCAAATTATGATCTAATATTGAATAAAAGACAAATTTCAGGGAACAATTTAAATTTTATTTATAAGCAACAAATTATGTCTCAGTGTTCCAGAGGCTGCGGGAGGAGCATGCTCGGTTTTTGGTGAAGAGGAGTGATCTGGCTCCTCCATACACAAGTATTGAGGAGCCAGATCATAGAGCGACTTGAAGACCATTGTGTTAGTCTCATTGCCAATGAGCTCTTCATTGGTCTTCCAGCCCAACTCTGCAATAAGTGGTCTGCTTGGGGTATCAAAGCTGCTATTTGTTATGATCCTAGCAGCACGATTTTGGAGTTTTTGTAACTGGTCGATGCTTTGTAGCTGGCTTTGAAAAAGGTAAAACGACATTTTTCATTATCCGGGAACTTGTTTGAAAGAAAATAGCAAAAGTTAGAATCACAAACACAGAAAAAATATTTGATGTGTATTGAGGTTTTTCAAACTTCAGTTGTTGCTTTCAGCGCTAAATTTTTTCGACCTGTCTCTTCAAATATAGATCCACAGATTTAGTTTACAAGTACACAAAGTGACACAGATCTGCACTTATTTTAGGCCCTGCTCATCGGGTGAGCTTGATATTTTGGCTTAAGGTAAAAATGACCCCAAGTTGGCTATTTCGAAGCGATAACACGATGTCGGGTTTAGCTTACCCGACTTAACATAAGAAGACTTTGAAAAAAGCCAACCCATCTCAACCGCTCAGCCTAAACTGGACAAGGGTTACCCAGAAAGGCCGGTTGGCTGATGTTATTATGTAAACATTTGAAGAGATTTGGCTGTAGATGGGCTGACCCTCTAAGCAGCCAACCCGGGTTCGTTTAAGCGGGACCTTAATCAAAATGCCAGGCCACTGCAATGCTGACAAAATTTAGGTATAACGAGACTCTAGCTGTCTAGCATAACATTTATACTGGAATAAGATAAGACATTTGGAAACAAATATCGTAGAAAAACGTCTACGATATCTTCAAACCTCTGTTTTCTTCATGCAAGCATTGGTTGTGAGAGTTAGTTGATATTGATTTCATTTTTCACCCCAAACCAGAGTTCGTTAGAAGGAAAATTTTCGCAAATCAATAATGTAGCCATGAGTAGCATAATCCCGGCTACATTGAGACCCCGTTTACACTGTGCCGGATAAAATTTATCCGCATAAAACTTGTTCAGATTGAATTTCGTTTACACTGTGCCGCACAAATTTTGTCCACTTTGCCCTCCCGTTTAAACTGAACCGGATAACTGCAGTCACATGACCAAATCCAAAAATAGTTTCAATACAAATTAGGTCTAGATTGTTTTAATAGTTTGTTCTTGAAGCAAAATGACACTGAACTAGCAACGAAAGTAGGGAAAGCTGACAAGGATGCCAATTTTATATGGACTGGCAAGATACTGCACTTTTAACAAGAGTATTTATCGACAACAAGGCAGCCAAGATGGCGAAAGGTCTTCATATTTGTTTAGAACGAAACAAAGGTCTATGTTGAGTACTCCAGCTTCTTAATATTCTTGAAAACTCAATACTCATTGTTTCTTAAGTGTTTCTTATTTATGATGTCATGAATGATGTTGTGAAATGGTCGTGGCCTTTTTATCACGTCAAGAGATTCGCTTCTGCTCTGATGCTGTATTTGGGTGAAGGTAGTATATTTTTATCCCTTGTGTCTTAGGCCAACAGGAAAATCATGTTTTTGGACTTTATAAAATCTGACTGTCCAGTACTCGTTTCTTATAGCCAGTTTCTTATAAAAAATTGAGTGTATTTGATAAAGAAATAATGACAAAACTTACCGTGTTTGAAATTAGTATTTCTTGCAAACGAAACGTGAAGCTCAACGAGAACGAACTATAGTTTCAAATTGCAAATAGATGATTTTATGGTCGAGAGAATACATGGAATCCTCTTGCAATGTAGATAAAAATTAGAAAATTCAGACAGTCATCGTTTTTTTCACAATCTTCAACTATGCTGATGGGACCTCGGTGGGCTCAACCCTCAAATCTCTAAATCTGTCACGAGAAACCCTTAATTCATTTATATTCCTTAACAATTAGCAGCATGTTGCTGTTTTTAAGCCTTCTACTAATACTAAAGTACAAACTCAACTAGTATGTTTGTCCTGACAATCCGGAAACCCACCCTGTAGTGAAATATTATCCCAAGCACGCCCCTTTAAATTGTGTCAACTTATGTATCCGTATTGTGCTAAAGTTGAGCACGAAACCTAACGTATTTTGAACTGAAGTTTTGTATATTTTGTCAAAGTTTAGTCTGTTAAGGTTACGTTTAGTTTTTGAATGTAAAAAATGTAAAGTTTTAGAAACAATTTACAAGGAATTCAAAACGGTATTGAAGTTTGATTTCAGATATTTGAAGAATTGATGCTTTTTTATTGGTACATGTACATACATTGCGATATTCTAAACGATGAAGGCAATTAAATTCTACATCGATTTTTGATTGAACCGACCGAGTTCAGTATGGTTATAAAGTACGGTATGATTTGTTAACTTGCTTCCAAACTCAAGACCCCCGAATGGCTTCATCGATTCCACGAGGGCAAGAATTTTTTCTTCTTGATGTGATTCGGAAAGTTTATTTTGAGGTTTGATCTCCGCCCGCGTTGTAATATTTGGAATGATCTAAACGAAGTTAAGCTGTGAATATTCGATTAAAATGTTACTTATCTCTAATTTAGCGCAAAGTCAATTCAATCGTTTTTCAAGAAGTCCAACGATTCTTCGTCTGGAAGCAGTCTTTCTGCGAGTACTGTGTGTACGGTAGATAATGTGAACAAGAGTGATGATAACCGTGGGCCTTCTTCAAAATTTTGCCCTGATAAAGCAATTCAGTTCCCAAAATCGGTATTTGGAAAGCGTGAACGTCGCTGCCAGCACTAGTGGTTTGAAGATTTTAAATGGTTGTGCTATGATATGCAAAAGGACAGTGTATTTTGCCATCACTGCATTACTCACCAAGCAAAATTAACAGCTAAGCATAACAAAGACCCTGCATACTTATCCACTGGGTTTAGAAATTGGAAAAAAACTGTTTCAAAGAACACGAGCTGAGCAAATGCCATACTGCAGCACTAACATATGAAACTGTTGTACCGAAATGTGGAGACCCTGTAGAGATGCACAACACAGAAATCGCCAGAAAGAGGGAACAAGAGCATCAGTATTTGAAAATAATTATGGAATGTCTCCAATTTTTAGGACGAAAAGGAATTGCGATTCGTGGGGACGAGGATGGCAATGATAATTTCACACAGCTACTACTTCTGCGCGGCAAAGACCACCCCAACCTTATCGAAAGAGTGACTTCCAATGTTCCGGGAACCAAGAGGTTCACGCATCACAATTTTCAGGATGAATTCTTAAACATTATGGCACACCAAATTTTAAGAAAGAAAATCTATGATATAAACAACAGCGAAATATGTTTTCACTAATGTGTGACGAGTACACTGACGTTTCAAACAAACAGCAGCTTTCCTTCTGTGCACGCTGGGTCGATCAGGATTTGAATGCTTGTGAGGATTTTCTTGGATTTTATGAGATACCGAACATCAAAGCTCAAACGATCGTTACTGCCATTAAAGACGCCCTTATAAGGTTTAACCTACCAATGTCAGATCTCCGAGGTCAAACGTACGATGGCGCGAGCAATATGCTCGGAAAGAAGGCTGGTGTCGCAGAGCAAATTAAACATAGGCGCCGAATTTATTTTTCCCAGGAAGGGGGCTCATAATCTAAATTAAAAAAAATTTAAAAAAGTTAAAAGGTAGAGAAATTCCCTGTCGCTTTAATAACGTTTAGACTAAATTTTTTACAAGGGATTTATTTGATTCAAATTATTATTCAGCAATGAATAAATTTCACATTTTTGAGACTAAGAATATACATATACCTTCCTTTAGCTGTTCTGCGCTGAATTTTCAGCCCAGTGGCGGATTTCAAACGAAACTCTCAGGGGGCTGAGCCCCCCATAGCAATTCCCAGTGGGGGCTCGAGCCCCCAAGCCGCCTATGAAATTAAATGCATCCAACCAAAAGCTGTCGAGACACATTGCCATGGACATTCACTCAGTCTCTCTGTCAAAGACACTACCAAATCTGATAGACTGCTTAGCGATGTTATGAGTACGGTAGCTGAAATTACAACCCTCGTTAAGTATTCTCCAAAAAGGGAACAATTGCTGGGAACCATAAAAGATAACATCGAACAAGAACATGGAGATTAGATAGAAGAAAGTGAATCATTAACGAAGTTGTGTGTTACACGCTGGACTGTACGAGCAACAGCTTTTCAAAAAGTTATCATTAATTATCAACCATTGTACGATCTTCGGAATGCTTGCTTGGCAGAGAATTTAGATGGAGAAACCCGATCAAGAATAACGGGATGCCAAAGCCAAATGAAAGAGTTTCGTTTTTTCTACGGCCTAAATCTGGCACAAATGCTATATCTGTTAATGGATAATCTTTCAAAAACATTGCAAAAAGTGAAAATGTCAGCTGTTGAGGGAAACGAAACCGTCAGAAAGACTCAGAAAACAATTGAGAATATGAGAACCGAAGAATCGGCAGATTTGTTCTTTGAAAGTGTAATAAAAAAAGCCACGAAGTTTGATTTCATTGATGACCCTGTCCTGCCAAACTACAAAAATTTGAACGAATATTTCGTGGTAGAGGGAGATTCAATAAAGGTGAAGCATACTACCCTTTCTCGCCAAAAGAACATTATCGAAGTATATACTTTGAAATTCTGGACATTATGATAAATTCAATCAAAGATCGTTTGACCAGCCAAGTTTTCAAGTTTTTTCAAGGCTAGAGTCTTATTAGAAGCACTGTATTCCCAAGAGGTCAACGAGGAGACAGAGGAGATGGTGTCAAAAATGTACGGTCGATGTTGGCGCTTTCAAAGTTGAGGCAACCGTTCTTCGTACTATTGTCACGGGAAACGAAATAACCTGTTTTAAGGATATATACAGGTGCTTGAAAGAATCGTCGAAAAATGAACAGTCACTAATTCCGAATATCATGCGCGTTGTCAAGCTCTTGCTTGTAAATCCTGCAACCTCCTGCACCCCAGAAAGAT